ACAGCCGGTATGCTTACGAGATAGATTCCCGCACATACTATGTATACTGCGCTTATATACATGTCAACTAGGAAGGTTTGGGATAAGTTACCCCTTTCCACCCTCCCAGAAATCAAATGATTGGTGTCTCATTACAATTTTTTACAAATTCTCCAGTCCAATGATGATTGAAGGTGTTCAGTTGTTTGGCCCCTCACACATTATCACAGTTACACCAAAGTCCCAAAAGTCCACAAGTTGAGGGAGGGAGTTGGTGTGTCCCTTTCACAAGCTGCATACATAAGTTAAGGCATGGTGTGATTCTGTGATTGGTTGTGTGAGCTGCAGATTCAATGTAAATAATGATTTGGGAACACATTCAAAATTGTTATGAAAGATGTAGTCCTAGTGAGCTGGATATCCTTGCCAGCTGGGTTGATCTACAACCCTGTACAAACAATCCCTGGAGGGTAGAAAAATGTGGTTCAGACCAACACAACAATCTATCTATAGCTGCTTTTTTCCATGTCATCCATTTGATTGTGAAAACTCATTGCTTAATTGAAGTTGTGAATTTGAAAGGAAAGGTGTGTCAAGTATTAAATCATGTTGAATGCTGCATCTTTAGACATTGCACCACACAGTAGATAGATCATTCTTTCATCTCCATCTTTCATTAATCAATCTAATAATCCAAGATTTGTACAGCATATAAAAAACCCATGCAATGTTTGGGAGAAAAAACATATTGCAAATTTCTTTGCAGAAGCTTTCAATCTGTACAGCTGAATTTGAAATGTAAGGTACATATGTACCAATTTATGAAAGGCTTCTTTGTACACTGTACATATGTATGTTGGAATGCATATGAGCCGCATTCTCAACTTTGGCCACAAAAAGGCTGCAACCCCTTGACCAACTTGATGACCCCAATAGATGACAGCTACAAGTTATTAGATGCAAATTAGAAAAGATGTTTCTGTTTTCCTGTTGGTCCTCATTGCTTCCAGGCCTAAAAACCCAGCTCCTCCATTGATAAGGGCTACAGTCTATCAGACAATCCACAGGAAATCATGGCTCAGTGCAGAGCAGCTGTAGAATTTTGAAACATGTATGTTATAGCTAACCCACAAAGGCTTGCAACTTTTTCTTAGAAAGAGTGAAAAGTCTTGTTGCCAAAGAATAAAAAAGTGTGATTCTTAGCTGTAGCTGTCATGAAAGGTGCTTTTGAACAAGGTGGTGCATACATAAGTATTCATACCATGTTCAGAAATATGTGTTCAGCTAGGCTCTGCTCAAACGTTTTTACAGCTGCAGGGAACATTAGACCAATTTTTTTCCAGAGGATTGTTTTTCATTTTTTGAAAACAAAAGTTACAAGCCTTTCTGGGTTGGCTGTGATCCCAACAGATCATTTTTAAACTCAAGCACAAGCTTTCCTGAACCAGACCAAAAAATTCAAACTTTCCCAATTGGATTGGCAGCAGCAAATCTTCCATCTCACCAGACTGGAACTCTATACAGATCTGAATGGGCACCTCCAGCAAATCAATCCAATTGGCCTACCCAGTTTGATGAATCCATCCAAGGTGAACTGGTTGTCCTGGCCACTCCTGTTCAACCTGCTCATCATAATTTCCACACTTTAAATTGAAAAAATAGTTCTGAAGCATCCCTGAGAGCCAAAGATGGGAAATATCACCTAGTATGTAATTATCCACCAGTCTGGTCCCTTTGCAAGTAGTGCAAATAAGGAGCTTGAAAATCCTGGGGTGTTTGCCACATGGCTGGCTGGCTGTAGGATAGTCAGTTCCAGTCTCAGAATTGCCTTTTGGATGAATCAGAAAGATCCAAATGGTGTCGCTGAGGCAATTATTTGGTTTTATGTGCTTTTTTTGTGCATGACATTGCTGACATTTGTTCAAGAAAGTGGTGGGGTTGGGGGGTTTATCAAAGAAAAGCCAACTTGCTCCAGTAGTGGCAACAATGTAATTATCCACCATTCTGGTCCCTTTGCTAGGAGTGCAAATAAGGAGCTTGAAAATCCTGGGGTGTTGGCCACATGGCTGGCTGGCTATACAATAGTCAGTTCCAGTCTCATAATTGCCTGTTGGCGGAATCAGAAAGATCCAAATGGTGTTACTTGTATGTGCATCTATAATCAACAAAAAAAGATACATTTGTTCTCTCAGTCTGTATCACTTACTATCAAGATTCACTCCATGAGATTATAGTGAAGCACAATCAAGTACTTACACTATTACAACTAAGGGACGGGTTGTGGGCAGAAGGAGACAATGTACATTTAATCTGAACTTCTGAAGGAAAAAATGAGCAAGTGCAACTTCCGCAAGGAAATGAAACAAGTGACAGGGAATGGAAAAACAAGAATGAGACCAGATGATGGCAGAATCTCAACATTCTTCTCTTTTTTTTTTTCTGTTTGCTGCTGGGTTGAATATTTGTAATTCCAAGGTTTCTGAAAAAAAAATACCTATAAGTAAAGATCAAAATGCCACCTGTTTTCTGCTGGTTTTATCCATTTTGTGTCGAGCTTATCAAAATCAGGGGTCTCGAGCTCAACATTAACAATCAGAGGACGGTTTCCTGTTGGAGCAGAAAAGCCTTTTGAAGGGAAGCATGATTTGGAGGTCGTCCTTTGGCCTTGAAGTGATTATGTAATTAGAGGTGTTCTCTTTTGGATCGATGACATCATACGTTGACCGATTGGTCAGGAATTCTTTCAGTTTCACTTTCAGCTGGCAACCCAGTCACTTGACTTCATCCATGCTTGATCCCTGTTGACCATTGGCATCGTCCTTCATCCCTCATCCTTAACCCACTATTACTTTCTTCTCTCTTCCACCCGCTAAGGAAACACTATCACAATGTCTGACCGATCAATAGCTCCTGTGGGCCCACCTGACCCTTCTCTCCCTCCTGTCGGCTCCAAAATCAATTTCAATGAGTCCCCCTCGCTCGATTCACACGAGGTTTCACCCCCACCTGGACAATCGGCCGACCACTCCGGATTGACTTTCAACATTCCAGTACCCGCTCACTTAAAACCAACTGGGACACCCGGATCAAAGTTATTGCATATCGAACGTAGTCATGCTAGCTTCGATTCTAAGTCGATGTCCTTTTACCTCTATGGTACAACTTACTTGGAGAAACTCAATAGGATTTTGGCCATCGTTCAAGATGAAGATGCCTTCGATAAGAAGCGCTTGAATTATCAAGGTCGGGATGCTCGTTTTAGACATGCTCTGAGAAAGGAAAAACGATTGGTTCAGATCGCAAAGGAACACAGGTGGACTGAAGAAGATATGTCAATGGCCGAAATGCTGATCGATATGCCTGGCCCGTTGTGAGTTTTCTTTCCGTTCTTTCTGTTTCCTTTTTGTGTCACATTTTTTATGTCTTGTGCTGAGTTTGTCTCCATTGAGTCTTGATCATTTAGTAGTCTACATAAGAGCATGTTCCTCAAGACCCTTCAAGAACAAGGCGACGAGGAACAACAAAAGATGTTCACCCAACCTGCCGAAAATGTGAGTGTCCAGCTTTCTGAATTCCAAACGATCGTGGTGGTGAATTAATACTGACGATCCCTCAATCAATTATCATGTAGTTCCAAATCATTGGATGTTATGCACAGACCGAGTTGGGACATGGGTCCAACGTCCAAGGACTTGAAACTACGGCTACCTACGACAAGGCTACTCAAGAATTCATCATACATTCCCCATCGTTGACCGCTTCGAAATGGTGGATTGGTTAGTGTCAAAGACAGATCCAGATTTCAGTTATCGATTGAAAATTCATATTTTTTTCTTCAAACCTTACAGGTGGTCTTGGTCGCGCTGCTGATCACGCAGTCGTCATGGCGCAGTTATACACCAATGGGAAAAAATACGGTCCTCATCCCTTCGTGGTACCCAATCCGCGACATCCAAACTCGCGACCCTTTACCTGGTCGAGTCATTGGTGATGTGGGGCCTAAGCTAGGGTAGGATGCTTTCCTTTTTCTTGGAAACTGGATTGTCAGTGGTTCTTGCCCTAAAATGTTTGATGCTCGTGTTAGGTACCAAACTACAGATAATGGGATGATCCTGTTTGACAAAGTCAGAATTCCTCACAATCATTTACTCTCCCGATTTTCCCGGGTCGATCCACATTCTGGTCAATACATCAAGCCTGATAACGCTAAGTTGGCTTATGGTACGATGACTTACATCCGAGCGGGGCTTGTCCAACAAGCTAGAATGGTACTAGCTCGTTCGGCCATAGTGGCTATTCGATATTGCGCGATCCGAAGACAGTTTGCGGACAAGGATGCACCGGTAGTGAGTCCTAACACTGATTCAGCATTTCAGCTTGATTTTTCCACAGCCAATTCAGCTTTCCAGCTTGTTTTCTTGCCTATTTGTGGTGATTGAAATTGACTTCCCCAAACCGGTCAATTCTTCTTTTTAGTTGGATGGTAAAAAGCCAGCTGAAAACCCAGTGCTTGATTACCAAATGGTCCAATATCGCATTTTTCCAATCTTGGCACAAGCCTTTGCTTGTCATTACACAGTTGAGTAATTTTTCAGTTGAAAACGCCACGTCTCCCCGATCCAAGCTAACACGACATCTTATTTTTCCCTAACAGGGGCTTGAAATGTTTCGATTATATAACGAGAGTCAAAAAAACATGAGTGAAGGGGATTTCTCATTGCTCGCCGATGTACATGCCTCTTCATCCGGACTCAAGTCCTTGTGCACCATCATGGCTGCGCAAGCAATAGAAGAGTGCCGTCGAGCCTGCGGAGGTCATGGTTTTTCACAAGCCTCTGGACTTGGGGCATTATATGCAGACTATCTACCTCAAGTGACCTGGGAAGGTAAGTCGTTGAAATCCTATCGTCTTACTTATGTTCCACAATTAATAGTTCATTTGGATCTTACATCTTTAGGTGACAGCTACATGATCACTCAACAAACCGGTAGATACCTCTTCAAAACCATGCGCACCTTATTTCAAGATCGCAATGCCAAGTTATCTGCAGAAAACGTTACTGGGGAATACATTTTGAGGTACTTGGAAAATCCCAACGAAAAATCTAAAGTGGAATACAGTGGAGATTGTAAGCGCATAGAAGTCAATCTTCCAATGCACACCTTTGGGCTGAGCTGATAATTGCTGGATTGTGTTTGTTGAGCTTAGTCCATGATGTCCAAGCGTTCATTTGGGCTTATGGACATCGGGCGGCATTCCTGGTTGCCCAAGCAACCCGAAAGAGGGACATTGAACGCCGAACCTGGAATAGTCTTTTGGTAGACATTTACCGATGTTCCGTAGGTTTTTCTCAACTGTTGTGGATGAGTTTTTACCATGCATAACCCATCACTCATACGTCTTTTTAAACAGGTGGCGCATTGTCAGTTTTTGATGGTTAGAAACTTTGCACGAGTATTGCTTTACGATGAAGCACTCAAAGCCAAGCCTGCGCTTCATCATGTCATTCAACTTGTTTTTGAGCTTTATGGTAAGCACGTGCATGGGGTCTGCGTCCAGAGAGATGTACGCGTGTGGACTGATTTTTTTTTGTTATGATGTAGCTTGTTACACGATGGATGTCGAAGCAAGCGAGTTCCTAGCATCCGGATACATCAGTCCCAAACAACACATCTTATTAAGGAACCGGGTCTATTCCTTATTAGCTCAAATCAGGCCAGAAGCAGTCGCCCTATGTGACAGTTTTGCGGTCCCCGATTACTTATTAAACTCGGAATTAGGTAGGTCAGATGGAAACGTTTATCAAAAATTAATCGAATTCGCTTCTAAAGAGCCACTCAATGCCGTCAAATTTAACGTCAATCCCTGGGATAACGAACTCGCTATTGGCGAACCTTCGTTGGCCAAATTGTAAAGTCGTTGGGATTTGTGATTTCAGTCTCATTGTAGAAAATTGTCAAGACGTGGACATCGCAAATTCAGTTCATCTCATGCAACATGTAGAATTGATTTCCTCTTTTTTTGTATTCACATAGACTGATGTAGATTGTGAAACCATACAACACGTGTATGGATATATGTCTATAGATCAAACGTTTCTACTTCTCATGCAAGCATTTTTTTGTGTAAATATGAGGAGAGTTCCAAAGAGAAAAATGATATTAAGAAAATGAAAAATTATATATAACAAAAAACAAAAAGCCCAAGGTTAAAAATTAAATCGGAATGTGACGATCAATCAACAAAGCAGCAGGAAAATTCCTGTGACGGCAAGTGAGAGCAGCGATTTCCAGTAAAGTTTGGTAGAATTCAGGGGGGTCTGAATGGAGGAAGCATCTGAGTAATAACCATATCCGCGGTTTCCAAAACCCTAAACAAAAAACAGCAAAGAAAAGGGTAAGTGTTGATTAGAGAGATAATAATGGAAAGGTCATCATGCTCACCCCTCCTAGTCCGCCTCCAAAACCTCCCCCTAAGCCGCCTCCTAGGCCACCCCCAAAACCGGAATTTAACCCTAAGCCTCCCCCGCCAAAGCCTCCAAGTCCACCGCCTCCGATGCCAGTGCCGCCGTAATATCCATTCCCGCGGATACCGCCGTTGTTGAAGCCTCCGCCATATGGATCACTCTAGAAGATTAAAAAAAAAAAAGGAAAAGGTTAGATTTAGATTGTTGGTTGTTGGTTGGTTGGTGGAAGATTATATACTGATGGAAGGACGGGAAAGAAGAGAAAGAACAACTCACTGTTAGGTATTGTGGGAAGGAACTGATCTGTGACACACTAATCGTTATCACAATTAAGATTGATAATCTCAAGAGTTGAGAGAGATTTCCGAATAACATTTCTGTTTGTTTTGGGCGTTTGTTGAATAAATTAATAAAAAAAGACAAGTATATGTAAAGAAAATGTAAAAGATGTAACGCGCTGCGTCAACAAAAAACAACTAAAAAGAATACTTTAGGAATGTATCGGTGGCAGATTGGTGAGGAGGATGATTTTGGTAGAAAGAAGGAAGGGGAAAGGAAGCAAGGAGATTAAATATTACAAGATCGCATGGTCATCATCATCATCGTTCTGAGTCGGCCCATACTTTCTTTGTCTGTGTTGGTTCTTGTTTTTGCTAGTCGGTTCTCGTTAGGCCGTTGTCAGTTCTTGGATGACAGAAAAATCACCGGACTGGATCGATCCTACAGACTAAGGCCATGCCGTCTTTTTACAAACTGCTCTTTGGGAAACTTACACAGCTGCAGCATCCAATCATATCCACGACGAAACGGATGTACACGTTGAGAGGGGAAATTTGCCAGTGACTGAAGAAGGTGTGGCGGAGGTTGATTTGATTCTCCTTTGGCGTATCAAAGATCATGCTTCACATAGGCTACATCGCTATCGCAATGTAATGCAACTTCATTGTTACGAATTGCCAAGATGATAACTGACTTTGACCATCCATCCATTCAATGGAATTCCCGCACGATATGGTCAATGATAGCTTTGGCAATCAACGACGGCACATGGCGTCGGAAATTGGGAACAGCTCATGTTTCTACCATGTGAAGGTCACGGAGCGTGCAAGCAAGTACCTCAACCATGTAGGATCAAGCTGTTCAAGAAAGACAGCACATAGAGGGCTCGCTTTCTCTGGGAAGATGTTCGGAATCAAAACTTCAGAAGGCAGCAATCCGTCACATACCAGACCAAAACTCATTGCGCCTTCTATATCTAACTTGACTAAGTCCCCACAGGAGGGGGACGACGCAGGGACCCTCCATACGTAGTACCAGGAACGTTCCAGCCAGATATTCCATGGTACCTGGGAGTATATCCACACGCTACCAGTACCACCGGCTTTTTTCAATCGACTTGATCCTAAAGAGCTCACACTTGCCGCCACGCAAAATTCTCTTCAACAAGCCTCGAACTTGGTTGTTGAGCCAAAACATTTCAGTCAAACACTCTCTAATAGAGAGCACTTTGGAATAAATTGGATTGGCTCTGAAATCTTGGATTATGTATGTTTTGCTTCGGTATATTGCCCAGCCAACCGAAATGATACCACAGATCACGGTCCAACCTGAAGTTAACCCTCTTGCTGGTGAAAAGCCAAATCTGACCATGTTGAAACTAATGATGGCATGACGTCTCGCTTGATGCACCCATGTTGCTGAGTCACAGTTGTGCTTCAGTAAACGTCACCTTGGTCACTGTGATGCTCAAGTTCCCCAGCCGTGTTGTACAATACAGGCACAACTCAAAGAAATCGTCATGAAGGCTCACAAACAGAAACAAACCGTGGAAATATTTCACTGAGAGAGTTTTTGTTGTTCATAGCTATGGTGTCCGGAAATTATTGCCTTTGGAGTCCAGTTCTGACTGAAAACAACGTCAGTTGTTCTCCAATCTGCTGTTGATCAAATACCTGTTTTTACGTACACACTGCCTCTGGGGTTTATGAGCATCAGATGAAGGGACTGCTATGTGGGCTGACTCAATCGCATTTTCATTGAAGGAGATAAACACTTTTTCTTTTCCATATGAAGGCAATAACTCTGTCCAAGTCTTGTGCAAAGAGGGGCAAAGTCACACTTTATCATTATAGCATTAATTGTCCTCCCATGACAGGTGCAACTTGTGGTCAAAGCTGTTTGATTAGCTTGAGCTGGCCTTTTGGATGTAGGAAAATAGAATAAACATCAACCGTTTGATAAATTTCAGGAGCTATGTACCAACTATTCATTCACATTTACATATCTTATTTGTTGAAGTAGGCTCTTGGACTTCATTGAAGCATGCATGTTTCACTACATCTATAGTTGACTCACTAGGATATCTAAATAAATGTGATGATTAAAGTTAACAAGATAATTTTGATATTGAAATAAAGTTTGTGATTAAAGATAATGAGATACTTATGAAAAGAGACTCAGTGCAAAAGTTCTGAGTGTCTTGATCAAAAATAGAGAGATGAGGTTTCAGAAGGCAACTGAACCAGACCAATAATTGAAGTTATAAGTCTTGGGAAGAGCATCAACCTGTCGTCCTTGTAAGCTGACCAGGGTTTCTCCTTTGTCGTTCAATAATTCCATCAATTGATTTCCAGGCTCGAGTGGTGCGGAGATTAAAATCCCAGTACCATCTACCTCTGCTTCATTGTTGTTCGACAAATCCTCTACGATCTGACAGAGATTTGATCCATTCACGGAGGGAGATGTTTCGTTGAGAGGGAACAATGCTTGCTCTAATACTTGATACCCTGATAAGATCCTGATAGCGCTGACCGAAGTGTTTGGAGCTGGAATCACGTAGCCGTATATTCTATCTTCTGTCAAGTTGGCGAAGGCTATTTATAAAGCAAACAACCAAAAACAAGCCAAGGAACAATTTTGAAGAATCAGTTTGAGTGATGGGGGCGGCTCAAGGCTCATGGGTTATTGTAGCATCTACTGACCTGGAGAAGGTAGAACATCATCAGTGGCCGCGGCGTTTTTTACGTGCGGTCTGTACCAGATGTACATTGTTGTCCTGATATGAAGAGTGGACACCTAGTTAGTTTCCTTTAATATTCAAAATAAAACCAATGTGAGAAACATGATCAACTATTTGACCTACTGATTCATTACGGGTGGGGTTCCGCTCTTGTACCATCTTTTATGGTGATGGGTTTCAAGTAAAAATAACAAAAAACATCAGTGTCGCAATTGATTGGGTAACACGATACTTCAGTAGAGACCGGTTTCGACCCACTGATTAAAATAAGATAGCATGTTCAAAAACGCCGTGTGCGTGAACCCATCAACGTATTGATGCGAGGAAACCATCCCCGAGGGTAAGTTGGCTAACGGTTGGGGATCTCTCAAGTAATGTGACTCTCCCTACGAAAAAGAATCAACAAAAACAAAAACTAACTTAGTTATAGCAGTTTATCATTACAGGACTGGGTTGAGAGGGTAATGATTAATCATCCTCATTCTCATGGGGGAGAGCACATATTGATATTTCCCCTAATACGGATGAGAGGGCTCACGTAGTCGTTCCAAGTTAGCAGTTCAATAAACTCGGGTGGAGTTTCTTGTTTGATCAAATTTGTGTACCGATTAACCATCAACCAATCATCACTTCGATAGATGTAATTGTCGGTCTCGGAGGGGTTCAGGTGCTTGTAAAACAGTGGTGCCACGGGTGCAGCAAACGTTTTGGAAACAGCCCGGCTGGCTAACATGGATGCCTTATCGGGAAAGTAAATTGTTTCTTGTGTAGTTACGTTAGCGTTGACTTGCGCGTAATCTACTGGCTGACTCTCGTTGTTGTGTGGCCAGGCGTCCCATGATAAAAGTCCATCTGCGCAACGGCTAGTTGAGGGTATAGTACCCGTCCAACCTGGCCTGGAAGCACGAAGGAAAAAAAATCGTAACAGACCGGATCAGTTTCATTGGCGTAGGTCAAGTGTGGTCTCTTGAATGCATTGTTCGCGTAATCGACGCAGATACTCACACAAAATAAGTCTAAATTCGTTCGGAAGTTGAAGTGTTAGATTATTGGCACTGTTTGATGTGGAATAAGCTAGTTGATGGGCTCACATTAACACCATGTCCACGCAATGACGCTTTCAAAGAGCACCAAGCAGCTGTGTAGTTCAAGTTAGCATCCTGAAAAAATCAAATGGGAAATCTCAGACATCCTTTCATTATTCTCTTAACTTTCTATCCAAGAAATTGTCTCACCAAGAACGTGCCTGGTACCTCACCAGAAAAGGTTGAAATAAAGGTCTTGTTCTGATATTGAAATCGTGCTGGATGTTTTGAAAACTGCAACACGCGTTTCTCGATGTCTTTTGAAGAACCAGGATATGCGTAATAATTCATATCGAATGCTAACCAAAGCATAGTGATTTTCCGCAAAAGTTAACCCGGCCATTTCTTGTCATTAGTCACACTGAAATATAACCAAGATGTACAGTGATATCGGACTCAACACAAAAACACTTTAAATCCAACTGATTTAGCAGTGTCATAGATCAGTGGCAGCTGGTGCTCATTGGAAGGATCCACGCCAATATTGATCGCAAACGCATCGATGTGGGCTTCTTGAGCAGTTCTCACTGGAAGCAAGTCATATAAAAAAGTGTTTCAAAAAATCTCAGTTTTTGGTGCTCGCAATTGGAATTGCCGTTGTCGACAGTGCGAACGAAAAAAAGAGAAAAAAAAGCTGTCTCAACTGTCTGAAGTCCATTGTTCCTTGGTGTAGTTTTGAGCGTTTCCCGCGACGACATGCGCGAAAACGTAGCGCTTGGATTTCCTAAGCATCTTTCT